ACTTTGAAAGAACTTTTATGTCTTGTGTGTGCACAGGACCAAGGCTCATTTTTTTTCTCTATATGACGAGTCAATTGATACAGTATCATTTACTGAAAAGACCATCCCGTCCCTATTGATTTGTGACTTTGACTTTGCTGAATCAGGTGACTGGAGGCAGGTTGGAATCTGGTTTGGCTTCCCTTCTAGTGCATGGATCTGTTTGTCACCTGTGTACCAACGCCAGACTTCCTCACTATTGTCCGATTATGCTGTGATATCTAAACATCTTCAAAGAAATCCCGGGCATTGCCACCTCTACAGAGAGGCCTCGCCCCACTCTCCCAGTCCCTAAACAACTACGAATTTATTTTCTGTCTGTAGATTTTCCTGTTATATCCATTTCTTATGAAATCATATAGTGCGTTGTCTTTTGTACCTGGCTTCTTTCATTTAGCAGCATGCTTTCGGGGTTCACCATGTGTGCGATGCAGGAAACGGCAACACTTGTCGTGAGGACTGGGGCAGGTGAAACTGGGGAAGAAGAAAGGGAGGGAATAAGCGATGTCCGGACACCAAAAAGACTTGAAGACTTTTTTAAGAGACGTATAGATGTAATAGGGAATTAGAAAGCATGGGAAAGCATCTGCTCTCTAAAATGTCAAAAAAACCGCATAGATTTGGAACAAGCTTCTTGTCTCATTCGGTGTGAAGCATGTGGTCCAGCTACGCAGCTGACCCACAGAAGGCCGTCACGGATGGAGCTTATAAAGAAAGGGGAGAGGCCCAGATGCTGAGCTCAGAGGCAGGAGAGGTTGCGTTTGAAGTGCTTGAGGAACAAGGAGTGACCCCAGGAAGGAGCCAGGCCATGTTAGGTAGGGCCTGAGAGAGGAGCCCCAGCTTCAAGGAGAACGTGACCAGGCAGTAGCTTGAACGGCTATGGATGGAAAAGGACTTGGCTTCATGTTTCCTTCCTTTGATTTTTAGCTGCCCATCCCCCCTACCCCACCCCCCGTATAGAAAATAAAATCACCCCTCCACCCAGAATTAACTACAGTTAACACAGCGGACCAGTTCCTCCCAGGCTGGAGTCTCAGAATCGCTTTCTTAATTAGGGGCAGTGGTCTGCACAGCTTTATATCCTGCAATTTCTTGCTTAGTGTAAAAGCATTACCCTGGGGATCTGATTTCCTTTTGCATCTCAAACCCGGGAAGTTTGGCCATTAGCAAGGATTTCCTGAATTTCCTTGGAATCATCACAGCGGCTGGGCTTGGTCTTCCTGGAGCTTTGAGCTACTTCTCCCTCCCCTCCTTTCAAGCTGCAAGTCTTCGTGAGAAGAAGGCGGATGCCATAGCAGAGACTCAGCTTTCGGGCCTTATTCCTCAAGGGTGGTAATTGTTTTAAAGGAAGAGAGAATTAGCTGGGTGCCAGCACTGGACTAGGCCTGGGCATCCAGAAACTGCCTCAAAGCAGTGGAGGCCAGTGGGAGAGACACGAGTGTCTACAAGGCAAGGTGACAGAGCTCTCGGAAGGATGGAGAAGGGGCTGTGGCAGCTGGCCCAGTGGAAAAGTACCTCAACCATGATTCATCAGGGCAATGCTCCGTTGGTGCCAGGCCATCACCTCATCGGGGAGTGCAGACAGCTGACAGCTGAAAGTCACATCAAGAATGGAATCAATTTTAAGGGAGGAAAGTAAATGAAAGTTAAGATAAAAATGCATTACTTCAGTACTATACCTTCTGCTGCAAGCATCTGTTTAATGCAAGTAACATGAGACTAGCGCCTGCTACGTGGCGGGTGCTGTCTGGGCACAGTGGGCAAGGCAGGCTCCCGTGCTAGGCAACTCCCGACCTGACTGAGGAAGACAATGTGGTGGCCCATCTAGACACAGGCTGGCTGATTAAATACGGGTTATGAGTTAGACAAATAAAATACCTGGTGCTGCTGAATTTTAGATGTCTAAGGACATTACTCTGGGTCTAGGCTAACTGGGTGGCTTAAATGTGGATCTGCATAGTGTCGGTACACAGAAATGGCCTGTGTGTGTGGTTCTTACCTCTGCTGCTCACTGGGGTCTCTGGGGGCTCTTCCAATTGGAGACATTAGGGATGTTCAGTCACTTCCCCCCTCCCCCTGAGTTTTTAAAAATAGCTTTATTGAGATATGATTCAAATAAAATATAATCCACCCACTTAAGTTACACATTTCAGTGGTTTTTAGTATATTCATGGATACGGACAACCATCAACACAGTCAATTTTTTTTTTCAAGATGGAGTTGCCCAGGTGGGAGTGCAGTGGTGGAGTTTCTGCTCACTGCAACCTCTGCCTCCCAGTTCAAGCAATTCTCCTGCCTCAGCCTCCTGAGTAGCTTGGATTATAGGTGTGCACCGCCATGCCCAGCTAATTTTTGTATTTTTAAGAGAGATGGGCTTTCACCATGTTGGCCAGGCTGGTCTTGAACTCCTAACCTCAAGTGATCTGCCCACCTCAGCCTCTCAAAGTGCTGGAATTATAGATGTGAGACACCATATCCAGCCAACACAGTCAATTTTAAAACATTTTCCTTATCTCAAAAAGAAACCTCATACTCTTGAGCTATTCTTTTTATTTTCTATTTAATTTTTTTTCTTTTTTTTGAGATGGGGTTCGGCTTTGTGGCCCAGGCAGTAGGGCAGTGGTATAATCTCGGCTCACTGCAACCTCCACCTCCTGGGTTAAAGCAATTCTCTTGCCTCAGCTTTTTGTGTAGCTGGGATTACTGGTGTGCGTCACCACACCCTGCTAATTTTTGTATTTTTAGTAGAAACAGAGTTTCACCATGTTAGCCAGGCTGGTCTGTAACTCCTGACCTCAAGTGATCTGCCCGCCTTGGCCTTCCAAATTGCTGGGATTACAGACATGAGCCACCACACCTGGCCAACTATTTGAAAATTTTTTAAGAGACTGAATCTTGCTCTGTTGCCCAAGCTGGTGCAGTGGCATGATCATGGCTTACTTCAGCCTTAAACTCTTGGGCTCAAACAATCCTCCCACCTCAGCTCCCTGAGTAGCTGGGAATATGGGTGTACACAGTCACACTCAACTAAAAAAAAATTTTTTTTTTTTTTGTAGGGATGGGTTTTTGCTCTGTTGTCTAGGCTGGTCTCAAAGTCCTGGCCTCAAGAAATCCCCCTGCTTCATCCTCCCAAAGTGCTGGGATTACAGGCATGAGCCACTGTGCCCAGCATTTCCCCACTGTTCCAGCCCTAAACAACCACGAATCTATTTTCTGTCTCTGTAGATTTTCCTGTTATACACATTTCTTATAAATGAAATCATCTGGCTTCTTTCATTTAGCACCATGCTTTCAAGGTTCACCATGTTGTAGTGAGTATTTTCTTTTTTTGTGGCTCAATAGTATTCCATCGTATGGATATGCCACATTTTGTTTATCTGTTATCAGTTGATGGACATTTGAGTAGTTTCTGCCTTTTGGCTGTTATGTATAGTGCTGCTGTGAACATGTGTGTTCAAGTTTCTGTGTGGACACATGTTTTCCTTTCTCTTGGGTAGCTACCTAGGAATGGAAATGCTAGGGCATATGCTGGCTCTGTTTGCTGTTTTCCAAAGCGGCTACACCACTTTCCATTCCCACTAGCAGTGCATGAGGGTTCTGATTTCTCCACATCCTTGCCAATACTTGTTATCATCTGATTTTTTGATTCTGGCTACCCTAGTGCATGTGAAGTAGTACCTCAGTGTGGTTTCGATATCATGTACTTAGTGGTGCTCCTAGAGTACTTTTTTTTTCCTTTTAAAAAAGTTTTTGGCTGCGAGAAGTGGTTCATACCTGCAATCCCAACACTTTGGGAGGCTGAGGCAGGAGGATCACTTGAGCCCAGGACTTTAAGACCTGCCTGGTCAACATAGGGAGACCCCATCTTTACAAAAAATAAAAAAAGTAAATCAGCTGGGCATGGTGCTGCACACCTGCGGTCCTAGCTACTTGGGAGGCTGAGGTGGGAGGACCACCTGAGCCCAGGAGTATGAGGCTGCAATGAGCCATGATCATGCCACCGGACTCCAGCCTGGGTGACAAAGTGAGATCCTGTCTTGAAAAAAAAAATAAAATAAAGGGCCGGGGCATGATGGCTCATGCCTGTAATCCTAGCACTTTTGGAGGCCAAGGCAGGCAGATTGCTTGAGCCCAGGAGTTTGATGCCAGCCTGGCAATATGGCAAAACCTGGCCTCTACAAAATATATAAAAAATAGCTGGGCTCGGTGGTGCACATCTGTGCTGTAGTCCCAGCAGCTCAGGTGGCTGAGGTGGGAGGATCACTTGAGGCCAGAGTGAGCTGTGGCTGAACCACTGCACTCCAGCCTGGGCAACAGAATGAGATCCCATCTCAAAAAATATTTTTTTAATTTGAAATAATTTTAGGTTTAGAGAAAAGTTGAAAAATAGAAAAAAAAAACAAACCAAAAAAACCCCACAAAACCCAGAACTCTCATTTACCCTTAACCTGGATTTCCCAAATGCTAACTCTTACCACTCTTGCTACACCATTCTAGTTCTTGGAAACATTTAAAGCATGCGAAACATTTAAAACATTTAGGTTGCAGGCTTTCAGCTGCACGTCCTTTACTTCGAAATGTTTCAGTGTGTTTTTCTTGAAAAAAAATTTAAAAAGTTCTCATACCACAGTAACATGATCAAAATTGGAAAATCAACATTGATTCAGTAATATGATCTACAATCAAGTTTTTCTCCAAATCCTTGGGTCTCAGCATTTGTTAAAAGCTTCACAGATGATTTCAGTGGATATTAGGGACCTATGTCGCCTCCTCTGGCAGAGCAGGACTGAGGGGTGCACCCTACCTGAGACGACCCAACAATTTAGGGTGGAGTTATCAGGGCACCCTGACTGCTGGGGCACTTTTGTGTGACAGAAAAAGACAGTGCTCCTGAGTGAGATGGCAGCTGGCTTGGCAAAGGGACAGCACCTTTGTCACAATGTCACGTCCCTGTACCCTATATGCTGCACCTACACCCAAGACCAATGGTCACTGAGGCAGAGGGGACAGGAGGGCCTGGGATAGCAAGTCTGCCCTCCTCGGTGGCTCATGTGTTCTTCATTTCCACCCTGCGAGAGTCTGTGCTGGACACTGGAGTTGGGGGAGGAGCCGGTTACAGACAGGGGAGCAAACTGTCTGTACCACACTCCATGATCCCAGCTGCTAACATCCACACTGAGCCCTACTTATCAGCCTTCTTTTCTCCTGCTGGAACCTCCTCTGTACTCAGACCAGCAGCCTCAGCACCATCCGACACTGGTAAGAAATGCAGATTCTCAGGCCTCATTCCAGGCCTATTGAATCAGGAATTCTGGAGTGGAGCCCTGCAGCCTGCATTTTAACCAGCCCTGCAGGTGCTTCTGAGGCATGCTCAGGTTTGAGCACCACTGGCCGCAGGGAGGTCGAGGCAGGGCCCAGGGTTAATTCCACCCTCCTCTGGTTGAATAGCTGCCGTTTAGGCAAAATGGTTTGACATTGAATCAAGGACATTATGAGCCAGAATTTTAAATATGCCTGTAAAAAAAACTGAGAGAGGGAGGGGGTTCAACCTTTGAGTTATTTCATTTGTCTATATATAGCTGGAGAGGTGGGAATATCAGTAAGTGCTTCCAATGCACCTGCTACATGCCCCACAAAGGAAACAAGAAGACGAAGTAGGTCTGAGAAAGTGACGGGGTGAGTGGAAACCCAAAGCCCCTAGAAGGCTATCCAAGTGGCCCCTCAAGCAGGTGAGCTGGCTTTAGGGTTTATTGAAGGAGGCAGAAACCTCAGCTGTCAGCTGCTTCCCGTCCGAGTTGTTAGAGGAGTCATTTAGAAAGCTCTACCATTCTTTCAATATTCTCACTGCCTTCCAGTGCTTATGGATTAAAAAATGCCTTGGCTGTATGTGTAAGAAAACAACAATGCAAGTTTGTAGAGAAAGAATCTGGGCCTTCTAGGTCAGGTGGGTTTAAAACTCAGACATCAAGCATCTTAGAGACCATGTAGCCAAATGAGCTTAGTAAATGCTTTTTAATGCTTACAGAACTGTGGCGCTTTGTACTTGCTGTAGTGCCTGTATAATAAGACAAATGAAATAACTCAAAGTTTGAACCCCCTCCCTCTCCTAATTTTTTTTACAAGCAGATTTAAAATTCTGGCTCCTAATGTCCTTGATTCAATGTCAAACCATTCTGCCTAAACGGCAGCATGTTCTAAATGTGAGTGCGCTCAGCTTTTCAAGCTGCTTCCGAATAACAGAAAATTGACAAGCTGTCATTCAAGATCTTTTCGTAGCTGCCTGAGGCTCTGTTTAAATTGTATCTGTCTGATACTTTACGATGAAGAGTGAAAAATTTAATCACATGCCATGCTTTTAATTTTCTAAAGCAAATATGTTGGAAGGAGCCAAGTAATGCAAAGCTGAACTGCTGGTCTCATGCAACCAATTAGGGGAAGGGTTAGCCTAAACTAATGAAAGATCTGAACTCTAGATCTTAGCAAATACATAGACTTTAAGAGTTTAAAAGGAAACTGAGCAGCAGCAGGCCTGGGATTGGCTTTTCAGTATCCTTATTTAACTAATAGACATGAAAGTTTTATGATTTGATATCAGGAGTGCTAGCACTGGAGTCTCTGAGCCTACTCTGGCTCAGGAGGCTGCCCTATTTCAAAAACAAGAAAAAAGAAAAAAAGAAATGCTAGTACTGTAATTCTAGAGTGCTTCAGAAATTCTCGAAAATAGCCCATGTGCAGTGGCTCACGCCTGTATCCCAGCACCTTGGGAGGCCAAGGTGGGCGGATGACTTGAGGTCAGGAGTTCGAGACCAGCCTGGCTAACATGGTGAAACCCCATGTCTACTAAAAATACAAAAATTAGCCATGCATGGTGGTGTGCGCCTGTAATCCCAGCTACTTGGGAGGCTGAGGCAGGAGAATTGCTAGAACCTGGGTGGTGGAGGTTACAGTGAGCCAAGATCGTACCACTGTACTCCAGCCTGGGCAACAGAGTAAGACTCTGTCTCAAAAAAAAAAAAAAAAAATTCCCAAAAATATTTTGAACTTCCGCACCTTTGTCCTATTTTGAAGGAGGGCTCTACATTGAAGAGATCATACAGAAATAAAATAATTGTTACAAATCGAATGCAATGTCTTTACTTCTTACACTATTGCGTTACATTAACTGCATCTTTAATTCAAAGTGCTCCTCAACCTAAAATATAGTCATGTGTCTATATTTTAAAATGTGTATTATAGGCTGAGCATGGTGGCTCACGCCTGTTATCCCCCAGCACTTTGGGAGGCCAAGGCAGGTGGATCATGAGGTCAGGAGTTTGAGACCAGCCTGGCCAACATGGTTAAACCCCATCTGTCCTAAAAATACAAAAATTAGCCAGGCGTGATGGCAGGCATCTGCAATCCCAGCTACTCGGGAGGCTGAGGCAGGAGATCACTTGAAACCAGAAGGCAGAGATTGCAGTGAGCCGAGATTGTGCTACTGCGCTCTAGCCTGGGGGAAAGAAGGAAACTCTGTCTCACAGAAAAACCAAAAAGTATACTAATGAATCTATTTTTTTTTTCAATCTATCATCCAGACTGCAGCAAGGTGATTCTGCCAAAATATATCTCATTAAAAGCCAACTGGAGCTTTTCATCACCATCAATGTGCAGCCCAAAGTCCTTAGGAGGGCAAAGGGAGTCCTCCACAACCTGGACCGGCCCCCTTCCCTCCAGCTGCCTTGGCTGCCCACAGGACCCTCTTCCCGCCTGCGGCCACAGTGCGCAACTTGGAATTTCCCCACTTGCGCAGACTCATCACGTCACCACCAACTGCATGCTGCTTCTGCTCTGTTCAGCTGGTGAAATCCTCTCAACCCTTGAGATGCAGCCCAATCTCCTCCTAACATCTGGATTCCTCTCCGTCACTGCATTCCCGCCCGTCATCCTGCCTTTGTTTTCTTACCCTCCGCTCTCTCCCGAGTGATGGACACTTACTTAAAATTAAATAAAAATTCAGATCCTCCTTGGACTTGTTGCATTTCAAATGCTTGGCAGTCACATGTCATTAGCGGCTACCCTCTTGGACAGCACAGACAGAGAATATTTCCATCATCACAGAAAATTCTAGACTTGGAGCTTCTTGAGGACAGGGGACCAATCACTGACACTGCTTTACAGTAACTAGCAGTGGCTACTCTGTAGCAGGGGCTCAGGAAATTTCTCCTGAACTGAACCCCACTGAACTGATGTGGGATTGTCATCAGGGTGTACCTGCTGTTAAAGGAGGTTGTGACCTCTGATGCTGGGGTAGCCAGAGAGGATGGGAGTGGGCCTGGCACTTGGAGGAAAGGAGACAAAGCCATCTGCAAAGCCATCTTTTACCTGCTGGCATGGCCCCAGCCAGGGCTCTGTTGCTACAGGAGAATGGGTGAGTAGGAATGGATTCTACCACCCTGGATCTAGAGGACAGCCTGTCTTGAGGGGCATGGGGGATGCTGGAAGTCAGGGTAAGAAGCTTGGACTTTATCCTACTGGCATTGAGAGCCCCTGGGAATTACTGAGTAGTGGAGTGATAGGATAAGCTTATAGGAAGAGCCAAAATTATTAATACAGCTCCTTAGAGCTTAGATCCTGTGACTTAGGAAAGGCAATAGGAGCCCCTGAGCATTCTGGGGGGTCCTTTGTACATCTGGAAGAACAGAGGCCCGAAGTGGGAAACCGTCCTCCTCCTGGGCAGCACAAACATGGCTGCTCCATTCCTATTCGGAAGCCTCATTTCCTGATTAAGGCTCTGGCAGCTGTGGTGTTTCACTGTTCATTATTCATGAATAGACTTGGCCCTGTTCAAAGCTAAAGATTCAATGCTCCAAATGAGGGCTGCAGAGAGGATGTTGGGGAACTCGCCTGTCTGGCCTCAAAACTGCCCCCTTTTCTCTGGAAAAATCCCCTCTAGAATACTGTGCCAAGGCCTGGTGAGTGAAAAATGAGTTTTCACGATGTATCAAAAGAAAAATGCATCTTTTAAGAAACCGTCTTTGTAAATGGCAGTAGATGGGGAAGAATCTAAAAGAGAGAACAACACTTGCAGGTTGAAAGCATTATGTCCAGATGTGGAGACGTTAGGACTAAGGGAAGGTCGGTGATGGGTCTTACCGTTTCCTACTTCATCTGCCCACCAATGGACGCACGCAGACGCACACACCAACAGCCTCCCAGGTGGACAGTCCAGGGAGCCCACAGCGCTTCCGGCACAGGACTTTGATTTCTCTCAGTTTCAGAGGATTTCTTGAGGCCCCTCTGTAGAGCTGTGTGTCTTTGTCATAATCCGTGCCTGGGTCAGAGCAGCTGGGTTGAGCTGCACTCACAGCTGGGAGATGATCCTGTGATCTCGTGGGTGGCCCTTCAAGGTTGCTCTTTCTAAAACCTTGGGTATTGCAAATTCTGCTTCTTAGGGACACTTTGGCCCCTGAGTCCTGCCCTGGTTGTCTCTCTTGCTGATGAAGCCAGCAGCATGGCTCTCAGGGTAGCACTGTCTTCCTTCTCAAGAATAGCCATGTGGCCCCTGGCTTGCACTTACTGGTCCCTGTGGTTACAAATGGTTCATCTAGGCTGTGAACCATCGCAGGAGTGGGTCCAGTTCAGCAGACAGTTCCTCGGGGGAATTTAGTAGCTGAGGGTCCCACTGAGTCTCCATCACCCTGTCACCCATTCTCCACCCCCTCCCCCACCACACATACACTCTACTCCCCCAGTGCTGGATAAATTGTCACGGCACTGTGATGGCAGTGGGATGCTTGGGAGTGAAGAAGTCGGGGCTTCTGCCCTGGGGAAGAGGCGATGAGGGCATGAACAGCAGGGCAGAGGGTGGGAGGCAGAGGAAAGGGCACTGAGTGGGGGCACGAGGATTGAGGAGGAGACTGCTAGATGGACGACGAGACCTAGCACTGACCAAATAGAACTTTGTGGGTGGCACATCAGTCACTCCAGGGAGATGTGCAGTCACTGCCATTTTCCTAATGAAACTCCTCCAGTTATTAAACAAAGGCCCAGAGTCACAGACTTTAGGGCCAGAAGTGGGATTTGAACCTAAGTCCTACAGATGACAGGGTTCCCACCTGCTTCTCTAGGTCACACTAGCCCATGCTGGAGGGAAGGAGGGGTGTTTCAGGAAGAGGGAAGATGCAGGCAAAGGCACAGAGACCTTAAGTAGAAAGTTATGTTCCAGAAAATGCACGTTATTCAGCACTGGGGGAGGAGAGTGTATGTGCGGTGTGGGAGGGGTGGCGAATGGGTGAGAGGTGATGCAGACTCAGTGGGACCCCCAGCTACCTAATTCCCCGACAGAGAAAGAGCTTAGAAACTCCCCCCACCTCCCACAAAGCAGTGGGGAAGCTGCCGACACACTGTTTTCGGTCTCCTCATTCCCTGTGCAGTCTGGCCGCTCCGGGGGAGGATGGGGCTTGCAGGCAGGCTGGTTTAGGATGTGTCCTG